ATCTTTTAAATGTTCTTTTCTAAAACAGCTTACTGCTTATATACACTTAAAGTCTTCCAGTTTTGTGGACATTCACACAAAGACCAGTCACTAATCAGGTGGCTACCCAGCATTTGACCACTGGATTTACAAAAATCATTTACATTTTAAGAAGGGTTATTTCAACATTGCATCATCTATTGATGAACACAATTTTTATTTTATTTATCACTCAGTAGGTTATTTAACCATTTATTGCTGTGTCTTTGGAAGGCTTTTTTTCTTTCGAACACATTAAAATGCACATTCACATTATTTCTTATTTACATGTAATGCACGGATTCCCCAAATTTTTTTTCTTTTGTTAGCTGAATCTTTCACCTTATATATTCATTTGCATGTTCACAGTTCTGTGACGTTGATCACATGGCATGCAGGTAAACAAAATATTAGTTTTTTTTTTTTAGTGAGTTTTATTTTGATTTGTTGTTACTTTAAAAATTATTTGTATGATTTAATTATTAGCTTTTCATTACACTTACGAAACCCCTGCAGTTCCTTCACAAACCACAGTTTAGGAAACCTTTACGTAATGTAATGTTTAATGCACTTCATTATGTTATTAACAACAAATGTAATATTTTCTTTGCATTTTTATATCAATATGGTACAATATTTATTAAATCAATTGGATAAATGAGTTGGTTCAAAAGTAATCAAAGTATTCTGATTATATTACCTAAAATGTGTAATGTAATCTACCCAGCTCTGTTCATTGTGCAACTAAACTGTAAAATGTTATATGAACAACCAGTTACTAACAGTAACAGGTCTTTCGAGTTGGACTAGGTAATAATTTGTGACTCAGTAAGTATAAGAAATGTTTAATTCAGGAAAAAGGAGACACCAAAAAGATTCACCGAAAGAGTATTTCAATACAATGTTCTGTTTGAACTGTTTATAGAACCAAAGATGGAATCGGTTCTGTATTGAGTGCGGTAGTCGGATTCCCAAAGTTAAAATCCATTCATTTCCTCCATAGGAGACAATAAGTACAATAATTTATAACCCTTCAAAGATGGACCTACTGTGAGGTTGGAGGTTGTTAATCGATATAAAAGCTTTTGCTGAAGCCATCGGTTCTCATTATTTCAACTTATATTAATTATTAATTATTATATATAATTATGTTTTAATATTCATGTTTGACAGTGGAGTTCATGGGGCCTGTACCATGATGGTGGCTGAACAAACTCAGGGTTATAGGATTAGTTTTGAGTTGACAAAACCAAACCAATCCAATCCGGCTTTGTTGGTGCCATGACCCTGATCATTAACGTTCTCTGTCAACAAAAGCATTGATCCTGAGTTTATGGAGCAGGTGCACATGACATCTGTAATGAACAGCCAATCACATGCCTTGAAACTGTGATTCACTTCTCACCAGAGAGCAATTCACTGCTAAAGATTAAATGATTTCTTTTTTTTTTTTTAAATGAAGAATTTAAACACAGCAAGTTGAAAAGAGTTGTCCATAAAAGAGGATAACTTAAAGAAAACATCTCGCCATGCAAGTGACAGTTGTGAAGTTAGTTTATGTAGTTGAATATATATACAGACACTAAAAAAATCAAGTCGTATGTAGTCATTTTTAAAACTTTATCTATTAATTCTAAAGCTTATTTATATTGCATATTATCCACACACACACACATATATATATATATATATATATATAATAATCTTTTATTTTTAATTTTAAAAAGTTTAATAATAATAAACTAAAAATGTCTCGTGTAATGGATTAAGATTATAATAATTATATAAATCATATCAAGTAATTATAATAAATAATCATCACTAAAAGCTAGACATTATCTTTAAAATGTTTTACTAAGTAGTTCCCTTTAATTTGGAGCAAGAGAAACTGGAGTGACTTTATTGTCTTAGATGTGTTACTTTGCTTGAAGCTGATTGGTCAGATTTCGGTTTGAGATCTCTAAACCAGAACATAACCTGCTATGGAGTAGGTTAGCCATGGAGCGTAAGTTACTATGGCGATGATAAACGCCACTAAAAACCAAACCACTTTAATGGCTCCTATAACCCAGTGTTGGTGCAAACTAACCTGAAACTTACCTTGCTAGCCAGAAAACCGGCATCATGGTATAGGCCTCTGGTGGAAAAACTACATTACCCATGATTCTGCAAACAAATCTCCACCATCAAAGAATCCCAACAAGCAAATTGCACATTCTTGCTCGCTCCTGTGAAGCACTGTGAATGACGCCGGAATCTGTCTTACTACGCTATTTAAATATTTTAAAATATATGCTATGCAGTAAATTTTGCAGTAAACAAACTATATTCTCTCTATATGTATAATCAGTCTTTAAATCACTATATTTTTCCATCACTGTTAAGTTCATTGTCATACACAATACTTCATAGGATTGTAGTTCTGTCCCTCTTTAAAGCCAAGTACCCCATTTACATTTTTATTTTCTAATCAATAGTTGTAATATTCTGATCCACTTCCTGGACCACGCCCGCGGTACACTGCATGTTTTTAAGGGTTAACTTCGTGACATACGAGAAAACAAAAAAACAATTAAGATACAACCAGCACAGCAGGTACAATCAGTGTTTTTGTCAGACTGCCAACAACGCTTCATGTTGTGATCCCATTGTGTTTTGACAAAAAATAAAATAGGCGGAATGTTTTTCTTTTTTTTTTTTCCCTTATTCAGTGTGTTCAAAGTTGTATTACTCAATACCAGTAAGACTCAGAGTGATTCTGAGGTTTGTTCGGTTAAGGAACAAACCTCAGAGTGTCACCTTTCAAAAGGGAGGTTCAAGAACAGCATGCAATTTACTTTGGGTATGCCTTTTTTTAGGCATTTAAAATTGTACAGGAATACTAAGGGGTTAATGAAGATATTTTAAAATCCCTATGGAAAAAATGAATGGAGGGAAAAAAAAAACCAAAACACTCCAGGAACCAAAAGTGCATTAATACACTATAAGAACCGGGTCTTGGATTCTAACCCTTCCATTAACATGTTTTGTACAAAAGGCTTACACAGAAATCTTGTTGTTAGTTGCCAGAGTGTCAAACTTTCTCACCATTGTTTGTATCATAACCTTTGAATTGTAAAGAGAGATTAGAGGTTGAATATTGTGCAACAGATATCATGTCACACAGCGCCGGTGTCCAAAGGATATCATTTATAAACCTTTGTCTTCTTTTCTTTGACAGCATCCAGGAGGTGAAGAGGTTCTGCTGGAGCAAGCAGGTGCAGATGCAACAGAAAGCTTTGAGGATGTGGGTCATTCTACAGATGCCAGAGAGATGCTCCAGCAGTATTACATCGGCGAACTACATATGGCAGTGCTGCTTGCTTTTCTTATAGGTTTATTAGTTTAAAGATGAGCCAAGAAAGTCTTTAGAAAGTGTTTTGTTCCTACTTGTATGTGACATTTTTGTGAAAATAATCGTCTAATCTAGGACTGCAACTAACGGTTATTTTGATAATCGATTATGTCTGATTAATCCGATTTAAAAATCCAAATGTTATGTTTTGGTATTTTATAAAAAAAAAAAAAAAGTGATTCTACATCTCGCTCAGTATTGTCCAAACAGTGTGCAAATTGAAGTTTGTGATATTTAAAATAGAGTTTGAGACTCACTGCCAGGACGAGCCTTTATGCAAACTGGAAATACTGGAATGGATTTCTAATGTTGAATTTAAGTTATGTGCGGAGGAAAACATGTCTCAAATAGATTAAATGCTTATGAGTATGTTTGAAGCTTAATATGAAGCTTTCTCAAGTTTAGGATTACTTGGACCATGTACGTTTCCTACAGTAGTTCACTCTGTGCCCTTTTTAAATGTGTATTTTCCATAGAAATGTGTTACTGTGGAGTCATGCTATTATAAAGAAATTGCTGTTTTAAATACAACATCGTATAAAGGGATAGTTCACCCAAATATGACAATTCTGTCATTTACTGACCCTCATGTCATTCCAAACCTGTATGACTTCCTTTCTTCTGTGAAAAACACAAAATAACGATATTTTTAAGAATGTTGGTAACCATGATCAAGTTTTGGTCACCATTGACTTCCATTGTATGGAGAGGGGGAAAAAAAAATTTGATGTTCCACAGTAGAAAGAAAGTCAAACGGATATGAGGGTGAGTAAATGATGGCAGAATTTCATTTCTGGGTGAACTATCCCTATAAGGAGAACTCGAAAATATTGTCATTTTTTTTCAAATGTTGTCATATCACTTTTGCATGAATGTGCAATTGATGAAATGTAGCATAGAGTTACAGTCATACAGTGCTTTAATGTTACATTTTACGCTTCTTTCTTACAATGAAGATTTCTATAGTGTGGTACCTGTATCTACAAACTTGAAATCGACTCCATTATTCAGCCTTTTTGTAATGCATTTGAGAGATCTTTAAATGTTGTTGTTTTTTTAACAATTTATTTCAATGTCAGTAAGAACATTAGTTTTGGGAAGTGTTTGATACATGAACTGTTGTACAGCTTGTAGAGTACCTGTTCATTACTCTTATGCACATGCTTCTCTAATGAATTGTTCTTAGCATTTCAAGCACTTGCATGTATATTCTAGCTCTACTAGAATTCGGTCAGGTCATGAAAAATCATTATATGCAAGTGTTGCCCTTAATGTTCAAAAGTATAAGTAAACCAAAATGTCTACTTTTGTTTGCTGCTTTTCTGTACTTGTTATTAAATCTTGCATTTCTTTTCCAAACAATATTGCATTTAAATAGTTTTTAATGAAATGCATTGAGTGAGTCATTATTATGCATTTATGTAGTCATATATTTTAATAATCCTCATGTATCATTACTACTGGATGATACAAACCATTTCTCTTCATAGATCCTTTTTTACATTTTTTTTTTATTCAGAGTGTCATATTTGTGTTTGCCTTTTAAAATCATTTGACATTCCTGCCCCAATAAATGTGCAAATTAATTATTTTCCTGCCAGGCCAAGTCGATGTGTTCAGCTATGTCTAACGATTGATGTTCATGTTTGTGTGCATTTTATATGTATAGTTATTGACGACATTGTCAAGTTTTTTTTCATTGGCTCACATATTAATGTCATCATTTAATTATAGTGGGAAAAGAACAAGTGTGTTAGTCTATAGATCCCTATCTGCTCTTTTAGTTCAACAACAGGAAAAATCAGAGTTCAAGACCTTTATTATTGCTCAATGTCATATATTTAATTACAAATTCTAATTTATCTGTCAGATTAGGATTATTTGTGGTATGTCATCGTGAATACGACTGATTTGCTGAATCGGTGTGTTTGTTAAAGGTTTCAATAAATGTTTTAAAATGCAAATTTAGTTGTGCAGTATGTAATCATCCTTTGTATATGGTATTTTAGACTGGACAAAATCAGGGAGATGCATTTGAATTTAAAATGGGTAGGTAGTATTAGTGCTAAAGTGTTTTTGGATGGTTCAAAGTGCAGACAATATTTGACAGTGCATGTGTTACTGGTTATTTCTGTATAGTTTAAATTTTACTTAATTTAAAATCATTTTGTGCTTAAAGTATGAAGTACACTTTTGAACTGCATGAGTTATGGCAATACATGATTACAATAAACATGATTAAAATGATTTAGGTTTGTCTTCACTCTGTGTGGTTACAAGATTGTTGCAAGGAGCTTCGCGAAAAATAATTACTAAATGCATATGATTCACTGTAAATATGCCAGTAACTGAACCGGTACCTTTGCGCGGCATAGAAATGAAATAATTTGTGTGATTCTGTGCTTTCACACACTTTCAAGAAAAGAGATTAATATAAATAAATGAATGAAATTAAAATAAATAATGAAATGTGCTGGGAAACTATTCATGTGAGGAAGAAATGTTTTGAAGTTAAGTCTGACTAATTTAAGTGAATCGGTTCTTTCGGACGGGTAGTTTCAATTGAATCGGTTAAAAAGATAATTCACCAATTCGCTAGTCATCACGCAAAAATGTTTCCAGGCGTCCACGAGCAGCACTTGTTTAACATGCTGTTATCAACACGTTTTCAATGAGCTTCGCAAATCTAAAAACGCAATGAAGTGCGACATTTCGTCGGTTCGTATAATAGTTTACTAACGCTTGAATGAATCGTTTGAAACAGCCGGTTCCCAATAGTGATTCATTCAGGAATCGGATGGGACGTCACTAGGCTGTGAATGCTGGGATAGTAATGGCGTCCTACTGTAAACAGTAGTTATTAGTGCTAAAGTGTTTTTGGATGGTTCAAAGTGCAGACAATATTTGACAGTGCATGTGTTACTGGTTATTTCTGTATAGTTTAAATTTTACTTAATTTAAAATCATTTTGTGCTTAAAGTATGAAGTACACTTTTGAACTGCATGAGTTATGGCAATACATGATTACAATAAACATGATTAAAATGATTTAGGTTTGTCTTCACTCTGTGTGGTTACAAGATTGTTGCAAGGAGCTTCGCGAAAAATAATTACTAAATGCATATGATTCACTGTAAATATGCCAGTAACTGAACCGGTACCTTTGCGCGGCATAGAAATGAAATAATTTGTGTGATTCTGTGCTTTCACACACTTTCAAGAAAAGAGATTAATATAAATAAATGAATGAAATTAAAATAAATAATGAAATGTGCTGGGAAACTATTCATGTGAGGAAGAAATGTTTTGAAGTTAAGTCTGACTAATTTAAGTGAATCGGTTCTTTCGGACGGGTAGTTTCAATTGAATCGGTTAAAAAGATAATTCACCAATTCGCTAGTCATCACGCAAAAATGTTTCCAGGCGTCCACGAGCAGCACTTGTTTAACATGCTGTTATCAACACGTTTTCAATGAGCTTCGCAAATCTAAAAACGCAATGAAGTGCGACATTTCGTCGGTTCGTATAATAGTTTACTAACGCTTGAATGAATCGTTTGAAACAGCCGGTTCCCAATAGTGATTCATTCAGGAATCGGATGGGACGTCACTAGGCTGTGAATGCTGGGATAGTAATGGCGTCCTACTGTAAACACAGTTGACGTTTACCGCTATGCTATTTCATTGAGTATTGTTATTATATCATACATTACATACGTTTTATCACACTGTGTAGAACAGGTTTGAGGAACGTATATGACTGGCATCTGAGGATATCGTTCGAAAGGTAAACCCGTTTTTTTTCTCTCTTGTGAATGAGGAGTTTCACACAGTAACGTTACTGCTGTAAGTTACAATAGCAAACATAAAGAGCTTCATCATGTAACGTTACATCAATCAGCCGTTTAACCATCAGCAGGAACTATCAGTATTAGAAATGACCTTTTGTAGTGGCATGTGGCAAAACTTGCCGCTTGAATTGTTTAGGGGCCATTTTAGACAAATTTATATGACAAGTTAACACTTAAACGTACATTTTCCAGTTTTTGACTTATCCTAAATCACATGTAATCATATTAATGTCATGTTTTATCAGCATGTGTTTACCTAGATCATAAAGACTGTGTTTTTGACCCAAATTAGTAACTTTTGGCAACCTCTTTTAGATACTTTACCAGAAATCCATCAGCTGAGTGCTGTGGTCAAGACCCTGACAGAGATGGAAGATGATTCCTCCCTGCATCGACTGGAAGGGAGTGACCCCAGTGTTCAGGTCGGGGGGCTGATAGTGAAGAAGAAGAGTGCTTCAACAGAACAGCATGTGTTCAGAGCTCCCGCTCCACGAACCTCACTCCTGGGCCTCGATCTGCTGGCCGCACAGAAACGCAAGGAGCGCGAGGGCAAGGAAAGTCTGGATGATCAACCCAAGAAATCCAAGGTGTCGTCCTACAAGGACTGGGAGGAGGGACAAAGTGATTCGGGGTCTGATGATGAAAATCAAGAAGATGGCGATAGCAGGAATGGGAAAAAGGAAAGGTGGGTTGTTCATCAAGAAAATAATTTGCATTACAGAGACATCAAGTTTTTTTTTTTTTAAGAATAGTGAGTCTCATTCACTAAAATGTGTATACTTAAATGTATTCTATATCTATGAAAAATTGTCGTAGGAACAACTGAAGCAACACGCACACAAAAATCACATACTGTGGGTGGCCTTATAACCGTGTTAAAGGGGTCATATGATGTTGCCAAAAAGGAACATTGTTTTTTGTATTTGGTGTAATGAAATGTGTTTATGCGGTTTAAAGTTCTTTACAGATCTTCTTTATGCACCAAGAGCTTGTAACACTTCAAAGAGAAAGGAAAAATTTAAATCGCATCATATGACCCCTTTAATATGACATTGTTGTCATGTTGTTTCAGTTGTTTCTACATTTTTGTTCCATAAATTTAAAGTTATTAAAAAGTTATTGGTTAAGCATAATTAGTTTGTACACAGATTGTATGCCCAAAATTAAATTAATTTCTTCACATGCAGTGAAAGAGTAACAAAAGATTCATTATAGCAGCTCGATCTGCGGGGTTTTACTGTCTAACAATGCAGAAAACAAAACAAAAATGAAATAAAATGAATTATTTTTAAAAAAGTCAGCTTTTTACTGAAATAAACTGAATAATTTTAACTGAATAAACTAAAACCAAAACTATGTAGACATTAAAAAAAAACAAAAAGTACTAAAAAAAATATATATATATATGAAAATAAAAATGTAAATATTAATCCAAAATGTTAACAAAAACTATAAAGGTCCTTGCACTCCGAGTCCAAAATTCTTGTCAAAAGTTTTTGCACATTAAAAAGTAAATACGACCTCACATTGTGTCAATGCTACGGATGCAAAAAACACAGAAAATTGAACCTGATCCGACAAAAGCTTTGGAGGCAGTGTGTAAACGTGATTGACACAACGTGAGGTTGTATTTATTTTTTAACGTGCAAACATTTCGGACGAGAATTTTGGACTCGGTGTGCAAGGATGTTAAAAGTGTATCAATGTTACTGAATTTTGAGGATGTGACCAAAGGCTGAAAAGGAAAAGTTGTGCTGAAAGCCCTTAAATGGAGATGGTTTTGGCGTGTTTTATGCAAATGAATAACATCAGCTCATTTAGAAATCTCCCAAGTTCATTAACATTAGAACAGAATTAAAAACAAATCCACACAATTATTAGTGAATGAGATCCAGTGAGTTACTTCCCAAATTCTATATTTATTTTTTTCTTATTTCTTCTTTTTCTTATTGTTGTAATTATATTTTCTCATGTATTTTAAACTATTATTTCGTTTATAATCTTTTCTCATCTTTTTTTTTAATCCAGAAAAGTCCTAATACCTCTCATCTTAAGCATATAAATAAATGCTATGCAGTCATGAGTTTATGTGTTACATGCTTCTACAGGAAGTACCGTGTCACTGGCTCAGAAACACCCTCAAACCCAGGAGGGGTTAGTGAGGAGTTCAAGCAGAAGCATCAACAGAGGGAGAAGGACAGACGTGAGCATGGGGTTTATGCGTCCTCCAAAGAAGACAAGAGCAGAGACAAAGACCGATCCAGAGACAGGGACAGAGACCACGATCGCTACCGTGACAGAGACAGAAGGAGAGACCGAGGTAAATCAGGTGCTCTCGGCCTGAGAGATCCCACCACAGAATTTCTGACTCTGGTCTTGGTTTTATGGGCTTTGTGCAGATGAACGGGAAAGCAGCCGCGGCCGTGGCTCCAGCAGCAGTCGCTCTGAGCGCGGTGATGGCAGTGTGAGGAGTGAACGCTCGCAGAGGGACGGCTCGTCCGACCGCATGAGTCGCGGTACTCGCCGCGATGAGCCCGAATCACCCCACAACAGATCCAAAGGTCAGTCACGCGTTCCCAGATGTGTTCAGGACACACTACCCTGATCAGTTTTAGCACTACTGAATGTCAGTTTTGTTACTTTTGTTATTGATTCCTGGGATTAACCCAAGTAGAACATTTCCTGTTGCATATTATGCATGCATTCCTAACTTGAACTATAACCTAATGTGGGAACTAGAGGGAAATAATAAGTTGAGAAGAATGTTGTTGAAGCCCCCAAATCCGACCCTAGCTGCACCCTAACTAGGGCTGCATAAGTAATTGAAATAAATCTGAAATCGCAATATGGCTTAGTGCAATAATCAAATCGAAAGACTGTGCTGTACTTCGATAGTTTACATGAGCTGCCTGAGTGAAGCGTGACAGTTTTACACTTCAACAGCTTATGACCCAGAATCTTCAGAGTTTCGGAGCGACTCCACACAAACTTTGCTGTTTGAGTTTGGGTTTATCAACAAAAGAGAAACTTTTAAGGGCTTTCTGTGGTTTTCAATCAAAATAAAAGTTAGCTAGTTTTAAGACATGCATTAATATTAGTATTGTAGTTTTGCAGTTGTAATGTAAAATAAAATATTATTATTATTATTGTATTATTTTTCTTGAATACTAATTTTTAAAAAATAACTCATTTTTTTCTTACATACTTTACAGTGGAATGTTCCAATATTATTATTTCTTTTGTTGTTATTTAATAAAATTAAATAATTTTGATATGTTTATTTTGTAATAATAATAATAGTTATTATTTTTATGTAATAATATCTCTACATTGT